ATGTTGTTCCACATGCTAAGTGCAGAAGATCTCAACACTGGTTTCAGGCTAATGAACACCTGTATTGCTTTTCCGATCCTGGCTGACTTTGACATCCGCGTCTGTGCCACCGCCACCTGTAGTTGAAACAGCGATTCCTAGATAGGTGAAGGAGGTTACTTCCTTTAAGTTTCTCCCGTTGATGGTGACTGGAGTTTGTTATTGTTGTTGTTGGTGGTGGTGCGGTATCTTCATCACTTCTGTCTTCCCCATATTCACTTGAAGTCCCGTCTTCGCTGCCCTGCCTCTTCTATCAACTTGTTAGTTTTCGCCTGTGCATATTCAAGTTTGTGTGACATCAGGCACAAGTCATCGTTGGCGAAATCCAGATCTTCTAAGTTCTTTTCCACAGTCCAGCCAGCCAGCGTATCCCCCTCTTCTCACAGCTCCTCACTGTTGTCTGCTGCATGATCCAGTCCAGTCGACCACAATCAGTAATATCATCGGGGATAGTAGGCAACCTTGTTTCACTCCTGCCTGTTTTCACTTCAAAAGCATCACTGAGCTTCCCATTGCGAATTCTTGGCATGTGGCATCTTCATATAGTTGTTGAATGAGGTGGATAAAGGTTTGCGGTACTCCGTAGTTTCGAAGCAGTTTCCAAATTACCTCTCGGTCGACGCTGTCAAAGTCGATAAAGTTGAGGTAGAGAGCGAGTTGACAGCAATTCTATACTCTGTTCTATGATGATGCGTAGAGTAGAGTTGCAATTTGGTCCGCACATTATTTGTACTTCCTGAAGCCGGCAAGCCTGTTCCGGACGTAGTTTTGAATCCAGTGCGTCCCTAAGCCTCTCCAGGATGATGCGGCTTAATATTTTGCTTGCTCTGGGTGGACAGGAGAGTGATTCCTCGCCAGTTCTTGCAAAGAAGTAGGTCTCCTTTCTTCGGCAGTTTCACAAGGTAACCCTTCTTCCAATCAATGGCCAGGTACCTTCTCTTCCTTCCACACCTTCTGCAATAGTGGTGTGGTGTGAGCATGTCCGCTGTTGTCTCTGCGTCTGCTCTCAGTGCTTCTGGCGGGATCCCATCTGGTCCTGCTGCTTCCCCACATTTCAGTAGCTTTATGGAGTTCAGGACTTCGACTTTTGTTGGAGGGCTTGTGTTTACTTGTATTTTTGTGGCTGCAGGTGGTAGTCGACTCAAGAGCTTCTTGAAGTGGTCGGCCCATTGTTTCCTTTGTTTCTCTTCTTTGGTAATTAAATTTCCCCCATCATCTTTTATTGGTTTCGTCTGCGTTGATCTCTTCCCAGATAACAACCTGGTTATTTGATACATTGTTGTCAGGTCTCTATCTCTCCTACCTGCAGCCTGTTCTGCTTCTCTTGCCAGTGTTTCGTAAAAGTGTTTTTTGTCTTTCCATGCACTCTTCTTCACTTCTTTGGCCAGTGTTTTATACATTGTGCTCAATTCCTCTTGTCGTTGAGCGTCCTTGCACTGGTTTATATTCTGCTTCACCATCCTCCTCTCCCTCTATCAGCTTCCAGGTATCCGTCGAGATCCATTCCTTGTCTTCTTTCTTCTCCCTTCCTAATACGGTTGTGCAGGTTTCTTTCCATATAGCTTTCAAAGAGTTCCAGTGCTCTTCCACACAGGTTTCTTCACGGATGTTGCTCGATATCTCCCAATTTGTCTTGATGGCTGCCGTGAAGATCTCCTTTGTAGTTCCATCCTTCAGTTTCCGAGTGTTATACTTGAACTGAGGCCTATCACCAACTTCCTTGAAGCCTTTAGCTTGATTTGGAAGGTTCCTTGCACTAGATAGTGGTGTGAACCTACATCTGCTCCTCTTCTTCACCTTGTGTCAGGTAGACTGCGTCTCCATTTCCTTGAGATTGAGATAAAGTCAATCTGATTTTTAGTGTGTCGTAGTGTCTGGTGAAATCCATGTGGCTTTGTGGATATCATTGTGTTTGAACACACTGCCTGACTCCAATCACCAAATCGTTGAGTGTACAGAATTCTGTAAACAATTCTCCATTCTCGTTCATCACCTCACCGAGCGCTTCTCGACCCATGGTTAGTTCTCTTCCCGTGTTGTCCCCTCCCAGTTTGGCATTAATGTCACCCTTCATTAGAATTTTGATATCGCCAACTGACGTCTTGTCCAGTGTTGATTGGAGTTGTCTGTAGAAATCCTCCTTTTTCTCTTGCTCTGCATTATTTGTAGGTGCATAGTGTAGCATTGTATGATTGTGACCTTCCTTCCTTTTGAGTTGAATCTTGCTGTTATGATCCTGCATGAGGAGATTGGTTCCCACTGCATGAGAGCCTTCCATGCTCTTGAGGACATCATGATGGCCACTCCATAACTCAGTGTGCTGTGTTCGTGGTTGTCGTCTGGGTGACAATATCGGAGTAGATTATTGATTCTCCAGTTGACAGTTTGGAGACTCCACTCCCATTCCATCTGCTTTCGCAAATTCTAAGCACTTCGATGTGATACCTTCTCATCTCGTTTGCAATCTGGGCTGCCCTGCTGGGTTCAAACATCGTACGGACATTCCATGTCCTTACGTTTACCTTCGCTTTCATCGAGAGAAGACACATCGGCCGACTGGCTTTCCGAAGGGTTTCACCAACTGGCGTCATTTTGCCTCTCCGATTCCAGGGAGGAATAATTTTTTTATTTTTTATATTTTGTTTGTGCTTTGAAGTTTCTTTAGCGGTTAGATTTGTTTCACGGAGTAGGGTTGCTAGCCCTATGCACAACCTTCCCTGTTTACCCAGGCTTAGGACCGGCTAATAACTAGTGAACTAGTTAACCAGGCGAGGTTTCTCATCATTACTATACATAGTTAAAAGACGTATATCGAGGCAGGTATAGAAAATATAATTGAACACTTACAAGGAGTGTTCCGTAGCGCAAACTGAAACATGCTTCTATATACATCCGGGTGTATTTGACACTTAAATAAACAAGTGTTAACTTCGAATAAAGATAGTACTTACTTTCTTATCCAGTTAAAAAATGTGTTTAGTTTTCAACCTACAGCTATTTCCATGTCCAACTCAACCATGTGGGATCACTGTCTTCCTTGAACTATTCGCAATATAAGTTATTTTTGGACAAAATGTTAACAAATCATTTAATCAATCTTGAGATAATTGAAGAAAATATATCATGCTAATACCTGAACTCAGATAATTGGCGAACTTTAACAAAATGATTACTGTGAAAGCTAGTTGGCTGAACAGAAAGGTTGCTGACACCAACTTAATGGTACAATAGGGAGACAGACGAACAGATTAAACGTAGAACACTACACATGAGTGCATTGGCTTACGTTTGCACACTTAACAGTAGTATACAAACAACAAGTGGATAGGGAAATAAATGATGTAAAAGTAGACAAACTTGTGTGAGGGAATAAACAATCTAAAGAATAACGTTTAATACAAATATTCAAGCTTCAGATGTCATTGTGAGCTATTACCAGCCATGTCAATAAAAGTCCTCAATCACTGATTTCCGCGGTGTTGTTGTCCCCAGCTAGGTGTCTACATCTCTCAAAACGGTTCCGAACAATAGTCAAAGACTTCACCGACTGGTACCACGGCTTGATGTGGACAGCCTGAACCGTCTTCTAACCTTATGCGACTTCCCCTACCATGACTCGGCATGAGCAACACATGTCTAAGCAATCTCAGTCGGTAAAAATTCACAATCAAATCAATAGACCTGCTTATCTTGCCTATAACCCTTAGCCCGACCTCAACATTGCTCACACGGTGATTCCACTAAACGCCAGCAATACTACGAAGACACCTGTAACCACTTCATTTCTCCTACTTTTAACGACCATAACTTGCAGACAGATAATAGGACAGAACGTACTACAGTGCAGTACACTCGATCGTGATGGCTATCGTGGCTCGGTAGTGTAGTGGATAACGCTCTCGCGTTTGAAGTGATCGCTCCCGAGTCTGAATCGCTCTGGGAACAACATCACTCACTAGAAGGCAGGCACATCCAGCTGACGAGTCCCGAATAGGACGAAATGCGCATCCGGGATCCCACTGCTCATCATTACTACACATAAAAAAGAAACGCAGGCAATATCGAGGCATCTGCACAGGAGCCCATATGCCAACAGAGACTGATTAATTTGATCCAATCAACGACGGTGTCACACAAGCAATAACACTAACATTTATATCTTTGATGTTGCCATTTTCGACTATTCACCTGGATCAGGCTGGTGTGCGAAACGCATTGGGATTAGTTCATTTCAAACACACCATGACTTACATAAATACAACTGCTTCAAAATATCTAATATCATCATCACCATCGAACTAAGCGGACTGATGTATTGTAACCACACTAATTAACCTCTACTACTACTACTACTACACTGAAATGATCGAAAGAATTACAACAAAGTCAATCGTTATCTATCTAACACAACTAGAACCTACAAAAAAAACACAACACACTAAACGATAATCACAATCACATGGTAAAATATTGAATAATATATGTATATATGTATATCTATATATTACAAACAACAATAGTATTTATGAAAAACAAATTTACATCCAATATACAATAAATAAATAAAACATGGATATCGAAATCAAAAATGACAGATAGACAGACAGACACAGAAAGAAAAGTAAAGGATAAATTACATAAAGATGTTATGTTGCACAGCATAGCAGAGATAATAATTAAAAGTAAGAAATAAATTAGACAAAAGAGGAATATAATTTTACTGCAACTGTATCAAGTATAACAGGTAATCTCATTTAACATGTTACACATCTAGAAAACATATCTGTAATAAAAACGAGTAAATATCTTTAAATAGACTAATATGCATATAAATACATTTAAAAACAGTTAGAAAACTAGCCAAAGTACAGTGTTCTAAAAGGATTTGTTTAAATATATATATATATATATATATTTATATATACGAGTGAACTACTTCTTTTCATATACACAAACCATGACTAACGCGTAGTCATCTTTGATCGAGTTAATCGGATAGGAGTTGGAGATTTTTGAGATTTAACAGATTTCTTAGGTCTTTTATTCATCAATACTGGTGTATTACTAGTAGTTTCACATTTTCGTTTCCCTCTCTTACTTTTACTACATTCTGTACCTGATCCCAATATTGTGGCTTCATTTGATAAATCTGCTTTCTGAAGAGTACATATCACCTCACGAGAACGAAGCACACGCTTTTTCGGTAAATCATCATCATCATCAAATTTCACAAGTGGACGTTTATTTCTATTCGCTTTACACTTGACGTCCCGTACACGGTGAGAATCTTTCATCGGAGCCACTGAATTCAAACTCCTTGAACCCAATGTAATGCTTGAGGTTTCCTGGTTAATGACAGTGGCATGCTGCGAAATATTTGCCGCCGGAACCAATGTGTCTTTTGAAGTATTCTTCTTCTTACTTAACTCTACCTTCGATGGCCTAACACGAAGAGACATTTGCCTTTTAGATACACTCTCTGTAAACTTTGGAATGTCAGACTTCTTCGCTGATTTGACTAGTTCAGTTGAGTCAAACCCAACGACACCGGCATCAACAGAACCTAAAGAATTCAATTCACAAGATTCTGTCGCTCTTTCAGAAACAGGTTTCGCAGTAGCAACAAGCTTTCGCCTTCGACCAGACCGATCCATAACAGAATCATGTTCCTCACCAGATTCATCAATATTTCCACCAAGTTTCTTACGTTTCAAAGTAGATCTAGAACAGTGTAGTCCACCTGTTCGTGTTTCAGTAGGTAAGAAGCTATTCTGTTTTGGTAGGGACTCCAGTGAAATCTGCACATTTGAGCGCCTGATTCTTCCACGCACTCCCTTTGATACAACCTTAGATGAGTCAGATACCAAATCAGGATTTGAATTCTGAAACATACTTTCCAAAGCTGACTTCCGCGTACCCTTTCGACTACGAAGCGGCCTCCCCAAAAGCATACCATCAACAGAGGAAACATCAGCACTTACTACAGGAACAGGAACACTAACAAATGAAGACACTGGAGACAAAACATCATCACCATTCTTACTAAGTTTCGAATTTCTGACGCGAATTCCAGCAGTCGAATTAACCACTACAACCCCCTTCCTCGAACGAAGTAGCCGACCAACTGAAACACTATCGTCACCAGAAATCGATTTCAGTGCAGTCAATTTCACCAAAGGCTTTCTATCATCACAATCTCTCACAACCACAACGTCACAAGGGACTAGCTTACTGGCAACAGACGAAGCCACAACAGAAGGCCTAAACCTAACCCTAGCTGACGGCCGACGCCTCACCCTTTCCGACACAGAAGAAACAACAACAGAATCAGTCCCGTAATTGGAGACAGCCGTAGACATATTTCCTAAAACGAGACCAATACCACAGCCATTTTTCGAACGTGACCGCACGCCACCGCGCAGCTTTTTCACAACCTCTGATGACACCTCAACCCGTGAAGACACCGACGCACGCCGACCACGACGTCGCTTCACACTAGACTCCACCACAGACGAATCACCAACATCAGATACTACAGGAGTATGCACAGTAGTACTAGGAGTCTTCATCAACCTCCGAACACCACTATAACCAACACTCTTCAACACTGGTGACAACCTCTTCTCCGGAGTCGCAACCACATCCTCCTCCAAAACAACACCACTCGAAGGCACTGACGACGGACGACCACGACGTCGCTTCACACTAGACTCCACCACAGACGAATCACCAACATCAGATACTACAGGAGTATGCACAGTAGTACTAGGAGTCTTCATCAACCTCCGAACACCACTATAACCAACACTCTTCAACACTGGTGACAACCTCTTCTCCGGAGTCGCAACCACATCCTCCTCCAAAACAACACCACTCGAAGGCACTGACGACGGACGACCACGACGTCGCTTCACACTAGACTCCACCACAGACGAATCACCAACATCAGATACTACAGGAGTATGCACAGTAGTACTAGGAGTCTTCATCAACCTCCGAACACCACTATAACCAACACTCTTCAACACTGGTGACAACCTCTTCTCCGGAGTCGCAACCACATCCTCCTCCAAAACAACACCACTCGAAGGCACTGACGACGGACGACCACGACGTCGCTTCACACTAGACTCCACCACAGACGAATCACCAACATCAGATACTACAGGAGTATGCACAGTAGTACTAGGAGTCTTCATCAACCTCCGAACACCACTATAACCAACACTCTTCAACACTGGTGACAACCTCTTCTCCGGAGTCGCAACCACATCCTCCTCCAAAACAACACCACTCGAAGGCACTGACGACGGACGACCACGACGTCGCTTCACACTAGACTCCACCACAGACGAATCACCAACATCAGATACTACAGGAGTATGCACAGTAGTACTAGGAGTCTTCATCAACCTCCGAACACCACTATAACCAACACTCTTCAACACTGGTGACAACCTCTTCTCCGGAGTCGCAACCACATCCTCCTCCAAAACAACACCACTCGAAGGCACTGACGACGGACGACCACGACGTCGCTTCACACTAGACTCCACCACAGACGAATCACCAACATCAGATACTACAGGAGTATGCACAGTAGTACTAGGAGTCTTCATCAACCTCCGAACACCACTATAACCAACACTCTTCAACACTGGTGACAACCTCTTCTCCGGAGTCGCAACCACATCCTCCTCCAAAACAACACCACTCGAAGGCACTGACGACGGACGACCACGACGTCGCTTCACACTAGACTCCACCACAGACGAATCACCAACATCAGATACTACAGGAGTATGCACAGTAGTACTAGGAGTCTTCATCAACCTCCGAACACCACTATAACCAACACTCTTCAACACTGGTGACAACCTCTTCTCCGGAGTCGCAACCACATCCTCCTCCAAAACAACACCACTCGAAGGCACTGACGACGGACGACCACGACGTCGCTTCACACTAGACTCCACCACAGACGAATCACCAACATCAGATACTACAGGAGTATGCACAGTAGTACTAGGAGTCTTCATCAACCTCCGAACACCACTATAACCAACACTCTTCAACACTGGTGACAACCTCTTCTCCGGAGTCGCAACCACATCCTCCTCCAAAACAACACCACTCGAAGGCACTGACGACGGACGACCACGACGTCGCTTCACACTAGACTCCACCACAGACGAATCACCAACATCAGATACTACAGGAGTATGCACAGTAGTACTAGGAGTCTTCATCAACCTCCGAACACCACTATAACCAACACTCTTCAACACTGGTGACAACCTCTTCTCCGGAGTCGCAACCACATCCTCCTCCAAAACAACACCACTCGAAGGCACTGACGACGGACGACCACGACGTCGCTTCACACTAGACTCCACCACAGACGAATCACCAACATCAGATACTACAGGAGTATGCACAGTAGTACTAGGAGTCTTCATCAACCTCCGAACACCACTATAACCAACACTCTTCAACACTGGTGACAACCTCTTCTCCGGAGTCGCAACCACATCCTCCTCCAAAACAACACCACTCGAAGGCACTGACGACGGACGACCACGACGTCGCTTCACACTAGACTCCACCACAGACGAATCACCAACATCAGATACTACAGGAGTATGCACAGTAGTACTAGGAGTCTTCATCAACCTCCGAACACCACTATAACCAACACTCTTCAACACTGGTGACAACCTCTTCTCCGGAGTCGCAACCACATCCTCCTCCAAAACAACACCACTCGAAGGCACTGACGACGGACGACCACGACGTCGCTTCACACTAGACTCCACCACAGACGAATCACCAACATCAGATACTACAGGAGTATGCACAGTAGTACTAGGAGTCTTCATCAACCTCCGAACACCACTATAACCAACACTCTTCAACACTGGTGACAACCTCTTCTCCGGAGTCGCAACCACATCCTCCTCCAAAACAACACCACTCGAAGGCACTGACGACGGACGACCACGACGTCGCTTCACACTAGACTCCACCACAGACGAATCAGCAACAACAGATACTACAGGAGTATGCACAGTAGTACTAGGAGTCTTCATCAACCTCCGAACACCACTATAACCAACACTCTTCAACACTGGTGACAACCTCTTCTCCGGAGTCGCAACCACATCCTCCTCCAAAACAACACCACTCGAAGGCACTGACGACGGACGACCACGACGTCGCTTCACACTAGACTCCACCACAGACGAATCACCAACATCAGATACTACAGGAGTATGCACAGTAGTACTAGGAGTCTTCATCAACCTCCGAACACCACTATAACCAACACTCTTCAACACTGGTGACAACCTCTTCTCCGGAGTCGCAACCACATCCTCCTCCAAAACAACACCACTCGAAGGCACTGACGACGGACGACCACGACGTCGCTTCACACTAGACTCCACCACAGACGAATCACCAACATCAGATACTACAGGAGTATGCACAGTAGTACTAGGAGTCTTCATCAACCTCCGAACACCACTATAACCAACACTCTTCAACACTGGTGACAACCTCTTCTCCGGAGTCGCAACCACATCCTCCTCCAAAACAACACCACTCGAAGGCACTGACGACGGACGACCACGACGTCGCTTCACACTAGACTCCACCACAGACGAATCACCAACATCAGATACTACAGGAGTATGCACAGTAGTACTAGGAGTCTTCATCAACCTCCGAACACCACTATAACCAACACTCTTCAACACTGGTGACAACCTCTTCTCCGGAGTCGCAACCACATCCTCCTCCAAAACAACACCACTCGAAGGCACTGACGACGGACGACCACGACGTCGCTTCACACTAGACTCCACCACAGACGAATCACCAACATCAGATACTACAGGAGTATGCACAGTAGTACTAGGAGTCTTCATCAACCTCCGAACACCACTATAACCAACACTCTTCAACACTGGTGACAACCTCTTCTCCGGAGTCGCAACCACATCCTCCTCCAAAACAACACCACTCGAAGGCACTGACGACGGACGACCACGACGTCGCTTCACACTAGACTCCACCACAGACGAATCACCAACATCAGATACTACAGGAGTATGCACAGTAGTACTAGGAGTCTTCATCAACCTCCGAACACCACTATAACCAACACTCTTCAACACTGGTGACAACCTCTTCTCCGGAGTCGCAACCACATCCTCCTCCAAAACAACACCACTCGAAGGCACTGACGACGGACGACCACGACGTCGCTTCACACTAGACTCCACCACAGACGAATCACCAACATCAGATACTACAGGAGTATGCACAGTAGTACTAGGAGTCTTCATCAACCTCCGAACACCACTATAACCAACACTCTTCAACACTGGTGACAACCTCTTCTCCGGAGTCGCAACCACATCCTCCTCCAAAACAACACCACTCGAAGGCACTGACGACGGACGACCACGACGTCGCTTCACACTAGACTCCACCACAGACGAATCACCAACATCAGATACTACAGGAGTATGCACAGTAGTACTAGGAGTCTTCATCAACCTCCGAACACCACTATAACCAACACTCTTCAACACTGGTGACAACCTCTTCTCCGGAGTCGCAACCACATCCTCCTCCAAAACAACACCACTCGAAGGCACTGACGACGGACGACCACGACGTCGCTTCACACTAGACTCCACCACAGACGAATCACCAACATCAGATACTACAGGAGTATGCACAGTAGTACTAGGAGTCTTCATCAACCTCCGAACACCACTATAACCAACACTCTTCAACACTGGTGACAACCTCTTCTCCGGAGTCGCAACCACATCCTCCTCCAAAACAACACCACTCGAAGGCACTGACGACGGACGACCACGACGTCGCTTCACACTAGACTCCACCACAGACGAATCACCAACATCAGATACTACAGGAGTATGCACAGTAGTACTAGGAGTCTTCATCAACCTCCGAACACCACTATAACCAACACTCTTCAACACTGGTGACAACCTCTTCTCCGGAGTCGCAACCACATCCTCCTCCAAAACAACACCACTCGAAGGCACTGACGACGGACGACCACGACGTCGCTTCACACTAGACTCCACCACAGACGAATCACCAACATCAGATACTACAGGAGTATGCACAGTAGTACTAGGAGTCTTCATCAACCTCCGAACACCACTATAACCAACACTCTTCAACACTGGTGACAACCTCTTCTCCGGAGTCGCAACCACATCCTCCTCCAAAACAACACCACTCGAAGGCACTGACGACGGACGACCACGACGTCGCTTCACACTAGACTCCACCACAGACGAATCACCAACATCAGATACTACAGGAGTATGCACAGTAGTACTAGGAGTCTTCATCAACCTCCGAACACCACTATAACCAACACTCTTCAACACTGGTGACAACCTCTTCTCCGGAGTCGCAACCACATCCTCCTCCAAAACAACACCACTCGAAGGCACTGACGACGGACGACCACGACGTCGCTTCACACTAGACTCCACCACAGACGAATCATCAACAATAGATGCTACGTGAGTGATCGCGGTTCTGGAAGTCTTTTTCAGAGTGCTGGTGTTTTTAGGAGTATTAGGAGTAGGTTTCTGCAACGGTTTCGAGGGGTTGATAATTGATGGTACAGAGGTGCATCTTCGCTTGTTGGGATTTGATTTTTGTTGTCGCGTGCCGGTCAATTCCACCGTAGGCTGTATTTCCGATGTTTTGGTGACGGGTAGGGATACTCTTTTGCAGAGAATGCGTGATGTTTTGTACTGCTTTTCTTGATTTACTCTCATTGAGAGGTCGTAGGTGGATAAGAGTTTTTGTATTTCGGATGAGAATGATGAATATTTTTTCTTCAAATTCAAAGTATTAGCTTTTGAGCTGTTCAGGATTTCATTCTTCTTGTTGGTGTAAAGTGGGTGATTGGAATTAGGAATTCCTCGCATAGTTTTCGTTTTAAAATCATTTGTTATCTTACTTGGCTCGACGTGGGTTTGATCGACACTGACAGCTGATTCAATTGATGAGTCGTTCGAAAGTCTTAAGGGTTCTGCGGAAACTGGTGTCGAGAGTTTGTCTCGTTTACTTAGATAAGGTTTTGTTACATTTTCTTTACTCTGTGCTATATTGCTTTCATTTGTTGGTTCCGTTAGTTTGACCGACACGGGTGTGGTAGGAGGTGCACGTGGCGACGGGAATTCTTCTGTGGACTCAGCAAGGTCAAGAGAACGTCTTTTGAAGTTTATGCGGTGAGTGGATGACTTTTTGACTGGGGCTGAGAACGTTGTAGATGGAACGCGAGATGGGTAACTTACAGAAGAAAAACTAACACTAGTGTCTCCAGAATCTAGGAGATTTGTATCCGGGGTAGGAGGTAATGATATGACGGCCGAAACCTGGTTGATGGTGGAATCATAGTGTGGAGAATCAAATGTCTTTTCCGAAAAAAGAGACAGCTGAGATACCCGTGTTAACTTGGCTTTGGAAAAAATGGGGTTGATGCCCGCGTAACATGATTGGGATTAGTCTGAAGACTGTAGTTTGTCGACGTACTGGGTTTGACTTTGTTCATCGGAGTTTCTCCTCGCTTAACAGGAGTAGATGGAGGCAGTGATTTATCGAATTGCTCGGGGCTTAGAGGTGGACCAAATGAAACCCCTCTACGGCGTTTAACAGGAGATACACCTTCATCGATAGGATAAATTTCATCAAGTATGCCACTTTTGTCATCGCTATTAAGATAATTAGACTGCAATCCTACTTCTTTTGACGGGGTTTTACTTTTATTTTTAAGTGAATTTACAGGTGACTTCACGTTCATAAATTTTAGCGAATTCGAATGTTGTTTAGTTACTCGAACAAAACGATTGCATGGGCTTTCAGTTGCATGATGAACTGCTGATGTATTGCGAAACGATTTACTTTCAGGTTGATCAAATGAAGTTTTATGTTTTTCCGGCTGCTTCTCTATATATTTTGATCTATCGCAAAAACGATCCACTTCATGAGATTTCGAAAGGTTAGATGACTCATTCAAGATGAGTAGCTTATGAAAGCTTTTCCTGAATCCAGGTGAATACTTGTTTTCTTTGACTTTGGAGTTGAATTGATTGACAGGTGGTGTAGATGAAATGAGAGTACGGTCACTTTGTTTTGATTTTAGATCACTAGAAAAAAGCAGACTTCCTGGTGTAGACGAAGTTAAAGGTGGCAAATCACAGGTAGTGTAAGACTTCGAATGATCATCCTTATTCTGTGACTTTGGTGCGTAAGTACTAACAAAGCCATCTACTACACTTTGCCTGGTAAATCGGTCATCTTTACTTTGCGATAACGACTGCATTTTTGACTGTGATGAACTCTGATGACGTAGTACTTGGATTACTGGTGGAGTATTAGGTTGGCGCGGAGGAACAGGGCCGTAACGTTCTCTAGTTCCTAAGGTTCTTTTTGGAGTTGCAGATCTTGGCCGTGGAGAGTTAGCCGCAGGACTAACTAGTAATTTTCTAGAAGCGGTACGTTTGGGCGGATAAACTATTGGCAGTGAGTCTGGAGTAAAAATGTTCTCATTGACATTTTGATTTGTAGCCAACTTAGATGCTGCACATACAGACTCATAAGTTGCAATTTTTTGAATCTGATAAAAGAATAAAGCACACGAAATGTAATTGTTAAAAAGCAAAACACACGTTCTCATGGTAATGCAGAACGCAATGCACTTAACCTGCAGATACTTTCACCAGAGTGAGCAGTATATTCCACTTTATGAATATGAGAAAGTAGTAGGGACGTGTAATTAATGAAACTACCACACTTTCTAATAGTAACTCAATCACTACGACGAGATTCATCTATAGAGTTATAAACCACATTTTTTGTGAGGGTTAACAGTGCTATTTAAGTCACCCCATATTGGTAGATGGTTTACAAACTCCAGTTTGTGATTCAATGGCTTAGAGACTAATGCATATATCCACTAGTCCCTTTCATATGGTAAATGTTGTATTCTACATAAGGTTAACTGTCTAAGCGCACACAACCATATAGAAACAGAAGTCAACATTTTAAGCCACTAGCCACTAAGGTTGAAGCTTTTGGGGATCAATTTTGACCTACACTGCTGTGTTCAGTGTAAATCTAGTGGGCAAATTGATGTTTTAGTGCATCAATGAAAATGTGTAAATATTTATTTCTGCCTAGTGAAAACCTTTTTTGCAGTCACAGACCAGACTTTTTTTCCGGATATTTTCGCGATTCAGTGAAACATAAGATATTACGGAGACTGGTTATCCGTGTACAGTTCACCTGTATCCTATCTTTACTTACGTAAAAAAAACTCAATAGATCAGTTCACCCTAATTGATTCGTTGGTTAAGGTGGCTTACATTCGACGAGGTCATAGATTTGAAAACCAACTGAGGTCCACTCAACCAAGGAGGATTATTAGAGCTCATACGCTCAGTTCAAGGGCCGGCGTGTAACTGCTGAATATTAGTTTGCTTTAAGACAACGAAACAATCTGCTGTGCAATATATTTCGACTCCATATTTAAATGGCAATAACCAATACGAAAGGTGTATGTAATGATAATAAAAAAGCTTGGTCAACCCTCAACAAGACAGCTAAAAGCACAAACAGTGAAACATACAATGATAGACTCTACTAAGAAAGGCAATTAGGAGAAAAACTCGACTACCGATCTGCATGCACTGACCCATAATTACACTATAAGGTGTGATAGGTAGACATCTAAAATCCAATATAGCTAGATGGAGGGAAAGAGACTGATCAAAGAATCTTCACTCACTGAATAAACACCTAACACATGTAACAAGAATGATTCACCACAATCTTTTAGATACCTGGAAAATATTACTAACAGTCAAATAAAACGAAAAACTGTGGACTCAGAGAAAAGTTTGAAAGTTGCATGATTACGTTGATGTGAATGTGGATAAAAAAGTCTGCTTGAAATAATATTCAGTAAATAATACTGTATGTCATATCAAACAAACAACTTAATATGGAATATGGTTGAACGGTTAAAAAAAAACAATTAGAAACACTGCATTTTCACATCCATCCAGTAGCTACTACTTTCATCATAATTGTAGGTTCAAAGGGATGAATGTATGCATAAGTCAGACTTCTTAACATTTTGACAAGATATCTCGAGCACTCCAATTAAAAAATACAGCTACCGTGAGAAGTTTGTGTTGTAAGTGCTTAAGTATTCATCAAGGGATATGGCTATCGAGTTTTATAGATAAGCATCACTTTCGAGAAATACTTCAAACGATTTTCTTTATTAAAGATTCCATCAAACTGGTACACATGCGTCTTGTTCAAGAGACGTACTTTCCCCTGTTACAAACTAAAAAAGACTTCTAAGTCAGGCCAGTTTCAATAAGAAGCACCCAGTTGCCATGAACATTTTGTTTAAGACTGAACGAAACTCACTATCAATTCAGTATTAACCTCCTGATGACTAGAATGAAAGATAGGTTTATGCTATCGATGAAAATAATAAAAAGTTCCGTGAAATGCAATTGGCATGTTTACTAAAAAATCTAAAACCAATAAAACCGCTTGTAACCCCTAAACGTATTATGATAGAGCTAATATTCATTTGGAACATGTATATTTAAGATATCCTCAATCGTGTCTTTATGACTTCATGTCGATTGAGAATTTTGACGTTTAGAAACAGTTACAGCATGGGGGAAAAGATCTATTCAGTTCGAGTACTGTCAATATTGTGGGAGATTCGGATATTAAACTAGGCATGTTCAGTAAACGTTCAGTGACACTAATAACTGAAAATTGGTACTGAAATATATATAAAGCAAGCACTTTATACGATAGAAATAACCACAGTCAAACAGTAGTACCACGCCAATGCTCTCTTCCCTGTGGAAAAAAGGATTAGCAAACGTGGAACTACATTCCCACTCCACAGCATCTAGGTGCCAGCAATACTAATTCGTAGTCAGATCTCCGAAAAACTGAACGATCAAACTTCTAAAAAAGCCGTGTATGGTCGATCACAAAAACATTTACCTTGGGCTCTGCGACTACTCACTAACCATTCTTTTAAGATACCTCAAGAAGACCTAGCCTTTCAAGGTGTAGGCACTCGGGAAGTGTCAGCCAACCTCAAAACTCTATCAGCACTCAAGTTTTCTCAGATCACCATACGCTTCACACATCATTACCTTATCAGCTTCCTTCACATCTTTGTCACCGATTCAGCATTATCTTTAATTCCTTCCAGCTCTGCAGCTCTCGACAATGAGTTCATAGAACAGCAACCCTGATCTCCTAAAACTGCGCTCCAGGTTACATATTGGAGCTTACAATGTCCGCACCTGCTGCCAAATCAGCCAACAAACTTCACTAACCAAAACTCCAGCAACTCAGGCTGTGTGCAGTGTTTTTAAGATACGCATACAGGATGCAGTTATTAACTTCACTTCATCTAACCATTATGGTGAATTCACAAAATTTACCCCTCGAGTTTTCGGATTTGAGCCCAAGTTTTCGCGGTTTCAGAGGTGCAGGCATCGCATTGATCATAAAAGGCAGAAAGCTAACTACTCGACTGGATCCTAGATGACAGTCGCCTATGCAATTGTTCAAGTGAATAGCACAGTGAGGACAAGACGGAATAGTGAGCCACGCCATAGTTTCTTTGTAACCTCAGTCTCCCCACCCAGCGACTGCAGTTCGGAAGTGAAGAATGAGTTCTGCCGAAAACTGCCTAGCCTCCTACAGAAACCCAAGCGCTCAGACGTGGCAGTTTTTGCAGGTGATTTCAATGCACAACTGGGTAGGCTAAATCAGACAGAAAGTCAAATAGATGATACTTTCGGGATCCAAGTTGAAGGAACAGATAACAGCGATCGCCTACTACAACTGTGGTCAGTCAACCATTGGTTTTTAGCCAGCACAAAATCCAGACATGAAAAGAGACATTGTCTGACTTGGTGTTCAACCACAACTTAGCAGTGGGCTAAAATAGACCACATGGACATTGGTTACCGATGGAGAGGGCCGGTGGAAAACTGCCGCTCCTTCCGAAGCACGTGTCTTGAAAGAAACCATGCCTTGGTTTGAGCATGTGTTTGCACCCTAAGAGAAAGTAGAAAAACTCTGGCAACAAGAACATTGAGTGCGGGTCGACAATGAGAACAATAAGGCTGCATTCAGTGAGTAACTGGCTACAGCTGTCTCAACAGAGCACCATTCATCAGGAAACTTGAAGCCATTTTCAATCTGCCACAAAACAGCTGACTCCCAGAAAGTGGTTAAAAAGGGCTAGTGGACCTCAGCAGCTTCTTCTGAAGTAATGGATCGACGCGAAACCATCCGTGCACGCTCCGAGTAAAATGAGGAACGAATGCAACTCCAACGTTGACTGACAAGAAGTCTAAGTAATGACCACGAACAGCAGTAGGGCAGTAAAGAATAAGGTGGCGGCAATAGGTAACAGTAGACAGCTGTTCAAACTGGGGAGAAAAGATAAATGATTAATGAAACTATAGCAGAGAAGGATAAGTCTGCGATTCACTCGCAAAAAACACGACCGCAATGATAGGCAGAACACTCCGAGGAACAGTTTAACTGGCCCTCAGCTACTATCCTGTTGCTCAATAACCAGATGCAGTCTACTGGGCACCTTTGGTAAATTAAAGATGTTTGAGATGCGCCCGTCACTACCCATACACAACTTTCTCAACGGCTGGTTTTCACTGGTCCACCGCTTATCAAGGGAGTGAAGAGACTGGGTGGCCACTTCACTTACCCGGGAAGTCAGATAAGACCCAGTGCGTCAGTGAAGGAAAGAATCTCTGCACAGATTGGCTTTCGTTTATTTACGCCATTGAAGGTGCTGTCCATCCATCCAGATCAACCTAGGACCAGGCATTACTTCGTAACGGTCCGAGTTGCAACACATATCAGTACATGAAGTAAAAAGGCAGTGAGGTGCAAGAGAGAAGGCAGTCAGAAGAAATATAAAGTACGAAAAGAGAGACAGTGATGAGATTCGGTATAGCGTTGTTAAGATGAGGATAACGTGTGTATACATCCACGTCAGTGAAATCGGTTCTGAGCCATATCACCTAGAGTCAGTTTCCAACCACTGGTTTCCTCAACCACCCAGCCTGCATCGCCCCGCATGGCTTAAACCAACAGTCGAAGACTCCATGCATTGGTGCCATGTTTTAGTCTGGCCACCTCAATCCTTTTTCCAGCCTGGACCTACTTCAGCCAACGTTGTGTGACCAGGCAACTGGCGACTAGGCATACGTAGTACGTGTCCCAACCATCTCAGTCGATGAAGGTTCACAACCTCGTCAACTGACTTACCTCTTCTCCCTAAAACTCTACTCCTAACTTCTGCGTTACTCACGTGGTGACACCATGGAATACGTCCTATTCTACGAAGGCAACGGTGGTCAAACACCTGAAAACAGCCTTCTCATGTCTTCCACCTTCAATGGCCATGTTTCACAGCCATACAGTAGAACAGAGCGGACTGCTGTGCAGTACACACGACCCTTAATAGACAAACGGATATCACGGCGGCGCCAAAGGTGGCGCAAGTTGGCAAAAGTCAATCGAGCCTTTTGTATC